AAAAAACATCAAAGCTTATTATGGAAGGGTGACTAGAAGGAGGGTACCAGACGGTTCTTTAACAGGAAAAGACCAACTTTCAACCTGTATTTTGGTATTTTCGAGGCTTCTGAACCATATTACCATAGACCAACCTCCTAGAATAGGAAGGTCTTGAATAGCGCCCCCGAATGTTTAAGACTGCATTATGCAAATAAATAGCAACTACTCGCGTACCTCACCAAGACACTACTTTTCCAAGCGAAGTGTGTTTTCAGAACTGTCTGAATTTTACACGTAAACAGATGAACTAGTTTTAAAAGGACCCAATTCCAAACGCAAACCTTATCATCTACCAAGGTACTTGAGGAACTGACGAATCCTGGTACATCCTAGATAGAGACCCTGCCGAGTTACCTACAGCATGTTCTTGAAGCTGCTCAGGAAGGTCTTTCATTTCTCCCTCGACTAGCTCTCTGCTATCGGACAGGGACTCTGGGAGGTTATCCGCATCATCGTCTTCTACGCCATCTGCAACGCTTCCATTATCGATTTCTGCTTCATCCAACACGCTGATGTCCATCATGTCGATGTCCTGCAAGTTCTCCAAACTTGTTTCAACGTCCTCCTGTGACAAAACAAAATATAACCATCACATGACTGCCATGGGTCAATCCACCAAGTTGATTCACTAACAACGCTGCACATACCTGTCCATCCCCAGAGTTTTCCTCCAGTCCATTGTCTTCCACACCCTCTTCTTCTGGTTTACGTCCTGGAGACAGAATCATTTACACCATGAGATCAGTGACATCTATATTCCAGAAGCAGTAACTTTTACAGGCCCTAAGCATTACAGAAGTAGACACCAACACCACGGCACTTCCCAACTTAGGGATGGTAAGACCATTTGGGACTGGACAGCCTGCTCCTACCCCCGGCAGAAGAGTTCTGTTCTCAACAAGTGGCTGTGCAAGTGTGAGGAGCTAGAAATGAGTGCATAGGAAGGTCGGGGCAGATCAGACCTGTTTTAAAGCCTGGCCTCCGTGTCGAGTGGCTTTGGTTGTGGGAAAAGAGTATTTCACACAGTGTGCTGCTTTTTAGTTAAGAAAGAGCAAACGTATTTTCCTACAGAAACTAACACAAAACAACATAAATAAGCAAAAAAGAAAAACCATTCATAATTTTACCACCTGGAGTTATTAGTCCCCATGTTATCATATACTTACTTACACAGACATCCTCTCCTATCTTGTTACCTACATATGCGTAAGATGCTTACAAAAATGGCACTGTATGGTCATTCTGTGATCTTGTCAGTATCTTATTTTTTTTTTAATTTTTTTTTCAACGTTTATTTATTTTTGGGACAGAGAGAGACAGAGCATGAATGGGGGAGGGGCAGAGAGAGAGGGAGACACAGAATCGGAAACAGGCTCCAGGCTCTGAGCCATCAGCCCAGAGCCCGACGCGGGGCTCAAACTCCCGGACCGAGAGATCGTGACCTGGCTGAAGTCGGGACGCTTAACCGACTGCGCCACCCAGGCGCCCCATTGTCAGTATCTTATGAACATATTTCCATATTCTTTAACGGCATCATCTAGAGATACCACCATTGATCTAATTAATACATACAGGTAGAAATTCAAGAAAAAGCTTATGAAGATGAACATCCTGGCAGTTTTTTTAAACGCTGATTTATTTTAGAGAGAGAGAGAGAAAGAGCACATGCGTGAATGGGGGAGGGGCAGAGAGAGGAGGAGACACAGAATTGGAAGCAGGCTCCAGGCTCTGAGCTGTCAGCACAGAGCCTGACATGAGGTTCAAACTCACGAACTGTGAGACCATGACCTGAACTGAAGTCGGACACGAAATCGACCAAGCAACCCAAGAACCTCCTGGCAATTCTTTTTGCACATAGGCAATTACCATTCTAGAACGTATTTCTAGAAAGGGCATTCCCAAGACAAAGGGTATTTTTAAGGCTTTTATTAAAAAAGAAAAAAAGATCCTACCTATTATCAAGATAGGTCACTCCAATTCACACAGCTCCATCAACTATGAATGAAATTGCCAATCTTCCCAAATCTTTGGTAAAATCAGGTATTAATTTTTACCTTCGTCAATGCACTAGGCAAAAGAAGGAATACTGTCTTCACCACAATTTATCTTAGGTTGCATTTTTTGTTCAGGAGGCTGGACTCACCCCTTAACTCTTCTCACTCAACCTCTTAATGTTTCTTATGAATAGACTGCTACATTCACAATCTGTTCTGAAGACAACACTTCATAATGGCCAGCAAGTTGGCACTTTCATCTAAATAGTAATTATGTGGCCAATGCCTTTAATTTTTATACAAATTATCAAATGAATAAAAACAATAGAAAAAATGCAAATGATACTAGAAATGACAGATCTAAAGAGAAAAGGGAAATCATTAGCCATGGTAGTAATGAAAACTATAGGGCAGAAGTGGAATTTTTGGTCCGAGAACAGGCTTGCTAAAATTAAACCCTTTTCGTCACGAAGAATGAAATCCCAGGTACGAAGTACACGAAGTACGCTGTGGAGGACGAGTCTCAACAGCAGAGTGTAATGCAGTGAGCTCATATGCTTTGGAGCTACAGCTCCTGGTCACGGAGGCAGAGCTCAGCTTCTGGAAGGATGCAGCAAGGGTTGCTGATCAGCTACCTTTACTCAGTCACAAATCCTCAGAAAAACTTACTTCCTTCAAGACCTTTTTCCCAAAATGAAGATCAGTTTCTTAAAGCCAGTAGCTGTTTTTCCGTCACATAAGGGAAACAAACGTTAACTTGCTCACATTTAAGGATTTATCTTGTGAGTGTGCAAGATGCATTAACATTTAGGGCAAAGGGCGGGGGAGGGGGGGCGGC